GAAAAAAAAAAGAGAAGAGTGCATTTCTAATGATATTATGAGCGACGAATATGCGAGTGAAGTTATTCATATAGCACCTACCGTATTCTTTTTGTCTATTCGTCGTCGTTCTTTCAATCTCATTTGTGTGTGTGTTTATTATCAGAGAAGAATTTGGAGGTCTTTTTCAGTATTTGAAGGTCTTTTCTTATGAACTAATTTTTTGATTCAGTGTGACTATCTTTTTTTGTTTTTTTAGATGCATCACATCATAGTATTCGTTAGAAAAAACGGAACGAAACATGTTTTAAGAAATTGGAATTCAATTTCTTTTGCGCTTCATTTCTTCTTTCTATTGATAAATGACGAAAAAGTTTCGACTGGTTTTGGTGTAAGCGCGGAATTTCGATAAGTCCGTTGAATTCTAATTGTGCCGAAGCAAAAAATTCATCTATGCGCCAGTTTTGTTCCACATCGGAATGATGACCATTTTCTTGGCGAAAATTACAAAGTGGAATGCTTATTCGTATGTTGGAATCTTTTTGTCCACACAAAGCCAAGAAAAATTTCAGTTCTCGAGAGAATCTGTCGTCGTCACCAAGCGAGATGTCTCCCACATCGTGCTCGCCGTCCTCATCCGATACAATTCAATCGGCAAGACGTACGAACAACAACAACACTAGTAGTAATAATAACAATTCGAGCAATTCAACTGCAAACGCGAATAATTTACGTACAAACGGCCACCTACAACAGCAGTCAAGGAGTGCCAATGGAAACACTGTACAAAACGGTAATGCTGATACGGGTAACGAAAACGGTCTGAATCGACAAACAAGTGGCAACGGTACGTTTATACAACAATATCTTGTAAACCGAGCTGATGTCAGTAAATTTGGTACTGATGGTGATAATAATAACAACAGTAATTACGATGACATTAATGATGGTATCAACCACAATAACACTGAAGTAATAAAGTATCACTGATGTTTATAACGATTCTAAAAGCATCGATTGACCGGTGGTTCTTCAGAAAGTTATGAGGATATCGAGATTCACATTTTAAAAATTGAAATGAACAAGCAGTTTGCAAGTATGTGAAATGAAATGACGACCTGGACAAATCGTCTTTCTAATATAAATAATTCTAAGTTTATGATAAACATCTGATCATTCAAATTGCATTTAATTGAATGGCAGAAGACCATCAAGAGGGAGGAAGGGAGGGAAACTATAGGAGGAAATTCATTCCGAGAATATGATCCCGACCAGGCGATTCGTGAACGTTTCAAAAATCCATTACGGATGATATATCTGCCAGAAACTATTCGAAACGCGTTGTATATCAGTATGTAAAGAATGTGCTGAAAAGAATGTGTCATCTTCCAAATTGGAAAATTAATTCTGAAGTCACTGCTTCATTTCATAAAAATTAACCAAATTCCATTCATTTGATACAATTTTGGTATAGTTTCATTGCTGTGTTTTGTGGTCTTCATGTTTTGTAACGTTGCTGTTTGTTCAACGGTGTTAATTGCTTCTGCTCTTTGCAGATTCACCAATCGACGTAACGGGTGTTAGCAGTTTGCTCAGTAATCATCCTTTGAAACAAGGTAAGTGCAGCATTCTGAACGCAACTAACTTCGTTGCTATCCTGCAAAGATAAAGAGATTACGCA